GAACTTGGCTGGTGCTGATTTCTCTGAGTTTTAGAGACAGAGTCCTTTGAGTCCAAGACCTGGTCCGATACAGTGGGGTGCTGGAAGGTGGGAACCAGCATCTGAGATGATTTAATGATGTTCTTTCTGTGCTTCAGACTGTTGTGTCCTCACAGTCTCCTGTAAGATGGTCTTGGGGTGGCAGCAGGTAGTTAGGAAACATAATTTTGCATTCTTTGTCTTAGAATCAACTCCCAAATTTGTATAAGCTTTGGGTTCCTGAAAACCTAGATCTGCCTATAATTAGGATAATAGAGATTTATTCAATTTTATTTTATCTTTTTACAAAGAAAGCTTTGAGAGGTTAAAGAGCTTTATCTCAAGATAATATTATGCATAAATGGCAAAGTCAATACTGGAACTAAGGTCTTTTGAATTTCAGAACACAATACACTGTTTTCCCCCTAATTTGAAAGTTGTTTAAGAACTTGTACTAGTTTTCAGGCAATGACACAGGTAACTGTCATTACTTTTTAATATACTTAATTTTTTAGTTCTTATGTTTTAAGCAACATCCTTATCAACAGCCTATGAATAATTTTTTTTAGGAAAAAAACATTGTTGAACATGCCTAGTAAGATCTTAGTACTAACTACCACTCAGTTGCTTCATCATAAAAGCTAGATGTTAATTTCTTCATGACAATGTCCTAGAGTTATTTTGCATGTTAAATTTTAAAATAAAACATTATTTATACACTAACAAATCTCACATTTATAGTTTAAATTTTTGTATGGGTCTAGTTTACAGAGAAATCTTGTACACAGATTTCTTAATAAAGTGAAACTGTGACAAAGAAAATATATATATTGGATATTAAGATGAAGCTAGAAATAATGCCCAAGAGAGATCTCAAGTGGAAAACTGATATCTTTGATTCATATTGATTGATACTGTTTGCTTAACTCCAAATAAACAAAGCTTACTGCTCCCCAGGAGGGCAACGGACTTCAAATATAATTCTGCTAAATCTATTATATCAGGGAGATCGTTTCCATCTGTCCAAATAAGTCTCTGCAATAACAATAGTGTGACACTATTTTCACCTTGACTTTCTTGTGACCAGAGACATTAGCTCACTTAGGTACTGTTCTAGAGACCATTCATTCAGGAACTTTTCAAGCTATGATTGATTAAAGTTTAACTTGAGTGACAGTCTCTATTTCTTAACAGACGTGTGCTTCTTTGACTTGTCTTGTTCTAATACTTTGTCAGTCACAGCCCCCTCAGAAATTGTCTTTCAGTTTTGCCAGTGTTCATTCTAAGTCCTTCAGAGTCAGTGATCCATTCCAACATAGATCACCCCTGGATTTGAAACATTTGGCTAATAAATATACTGGCATCTAAACAAGAGAGAAAGGATACTCATCTTCTGACAAGCTAGATTACTGTCAGAGAAAAAAGGTTTATTGAACTTTCCATGTAAACCTAGAAGTAGAACCATCTTCATTGTTTGGGCATGTTATTGTTCAATGCTGACTAGAGGCTAAAACTAGCAAAACAATATACTCCATTATGTCATTAGGATTTTTAAGGCAATTAAGACAAAGCAAATGAAATGAAGTATGGTGATTTAAAACTAAGATCAACTCTCAACATGGGGTTTCTTTGTCCCCACACCACCTGCAAGTTCCAAAATATTTTTAAGAACACAAATATTTCAATATTCTGTGACTTTAACAATTAGCATTATGTCAAAAACCCAGTAGGGATTCAACAACTGGTGAATGAGTGAATGAATGAACAAAAGAAAAACTAAACTCCATGACATGAAAATTATAAATACCAACATTCTTCAACTGCAAAAACCGAGGCAAATGAGGTTAAATAGCTAGTCTGGTGTAAGCCAAGAAATAAAGGCTGATGTTGGGAATCGAGGTAAAAGTATCTAACTGTAAATTCACTTGATTAATCTCTGCAGCACACTATGACATAATTTCATGAAGTTGATGAAGGTTATGTAGATTGAGGAACCAACATGAAATCCTTGTTAACTCAGTATTCAGGCCTTGAAGTGAGCAGACTTTGGTTCAGTAGTGCCTACATGTAAAACAGAGATGATAAGAGAGCTCAATTCACCCTACCCTGTCTTGTGATTTCCCAACTTAATAATGGTGAGCAGCACATGACCTTTTAGAACATTCTCTCAGAAAACTATTTTAGTTATTTAAGGATCAAAGGAAGCTTCCTTTAAAATGTCCATTTAAGTCATTTAAATAACATAAATATCATGAAGTAGTTACAGGCACAGAGAATTAAAATAGAGTTCAAATTCAGCAACTGCACAAATCTGGCCTCTTCCACCACTAGATTTCTCTCTCTTGCTATTTCCAAAACTTAGATCAAAATCCTATTCCAAGCATTCACTTTTCTCATCTTTCAAAAAACTGATTCAACTAAACCAATTTTACATAAATGAGAAATATATATATATAGATTTAAACATGTAGAAACTATTTTAAGGATAAAATAGTTATAGTTTCATAATTTCAACTTAAAAACAACAGAAACATAAACACATCAGATAGTCCAAAAGTCAAGTTCCAACAGTCAAGAGACAAACTGGAGATGCTTTGAATCTAACTGGCCATGGTAATGTGTTTGCTATTTAGCAACATCTATTTAATAATGACTTCTAATTTTAATTCTAGATCATTCCCCCAAACTCTCTCTAGATCAAGATAAAGTTTAATTTTAAAATAATTTTATTTTTTAACTTCCCACATAATGTATTTAAATTTTAGATAACATAGTAAACATAATGATAGTGTGTGCATGTGTGTGCTAAGTCCTTTCAGTCGTGTCCAACTCTTTGCAGCCCTATGGACTATAGCCTGCCAGGCTCTTCTGTCCACGGGATTTTCCAGGCAAGAATACTGGAGAGGATGGCCATGTCCTCCTCCATGGAATTTTCTAGACCCAAGGATCTAACCCGCGTCCCTATGTCTCCTGCCTGGACAGGCAGGTCCTCTACCACTAGCGCCACCTAGGAAGCCGCTACAGTCTGAAATACTGGAGTGGGTAGCCATTCCCTTTGCCAGGGAAATCTTCCCAACCCAGGGATGAAACCCAGGCCTCCCACATTGCAGGTGGATTCTTTACCATCTGAGCCAGCAGGGAAGCCCAAGAATACTGGAGTGGGTAGCCTATCCCTTCTCCAGTGGATCTTCCCAACCCAAGAATCAAACCAGACAGATTTGATGCATTGCAAACAGATTCGTTACCACCCAAGCTACCAGGAAAGTGGTCATGATAGTACACATAATCAAAAATGACTCATTAAAATTACTTGAAATACAACACTTTCTGCTTCTCTTTAAAATAAAGAAGCAGTGGTTCACTTGAAGCTCCAGACTATTTGTTGAAACAAAAGGGCATTGTGACTCATTATATAATATATGTTTCCTTAGGAAACACCAAATATTGGATGGATCAAAACTCATCCTCAGAAACGAAAAAAAAATACTTGCCGGAAAAGATTGCCAAATTGGCAATGACAATTTCCTACTTTGTTTAAAGAACATCAACCAAATCTTTCAAGTAGGTTTTTCCTTGTTATCGCTATGTATCCCTTGCATCTATATAACAGCTGAGATTTTTTTATTCTTTCTCTACTTCATTTGTCATCTTTCAAAAAGTCCCTGGCAGGACTAATTTGACCAGCAGGATAATCAGCCCTGAGAAGGCTTTTATACAACGGTAAGTACATAAAAATATAAACTAAAGGATTTTTACTTTGAAATCTAAATTTTTCTCAGACTTTCAAAGACATCATTTTTATGGGGTTTTTTTTAGCATGTTCATTTTCAACAAAAAAATAATAGGGGGCTTACATAATATCTAGTTACCATTAAGCATATTAAATTTTGAGAAATTCCATATGTCAAAAAAAAGCATTTATTTTGGGCCCCTGGGACAATTAAACCATCCAATTACACAATAAATCAACCTTCCCTTCTGATGTACCTTAATGATTTTTGACCTTCATAATGACCAAAATACTGTCAGATGTACTCTGAGAGAATAACTGCACAATGTTTTTATTATTTGCTTGGCTTTCCTTTCCAGAGATTTTAAGAATGTGTCATAGGAGAAATGATGCTTAAAAATATAACCATATGCATATATATTCAAGGAATTCTTTTTCCATAGTTCATTTTAAGACTCAGATTGTTCAGCCAAGACACTTAATTGATGGGCAGAGATAACTATCCAAAAGCTATACTGCACAAAGGTGCATGGCGTTGCTTTCCCACAACTCAAGCTCATGTACTTCAATATATTGTCAATTTTGAGCCAACTGAGAGTAAAATACCTGGACACCTCCCTTTTCTATGCACAGGTCTTTAATATACCATGTGAGGATTCTTTGAAGTTTTTTGTGACCACTCATCACAGACTGAAACACTTTAGGAGAATGTTGTTAAAACTAGAAAAGGATTTATAGTATGCGATAATTTTCCTTTAAACTGTATCTAGTAGGGTGATACTGTTGCTTTCCTTATTTCTGAGTTGTACCAAGAAATTAAATTTAAAACATAGGATCTAGTTAAGAAATTAATATTTGAAATACAAGTGTGTAGAAATCTACAAAGCCCTATAATCACTATTTAAAAACACCAAGATACCCAAATCCAAATAAGTTGTCCATTTCAAAATAGCAACTTCTGAAATCCAAAACCTTACTTATAAAAGTTTCTATCGTACAAATGCTTTCTGAACAACTTGTTTGCCATTCACAAGTCAAAAGTTAAAACTAATTTCATCATTCTGAAGTTAAATGTTACTACAGCCTACTGACACTAATAGTGAGCCCAAAATAATATTAAACAAAATTCTTAAAATGCTGCAGTAGTATTCCTGTATGAGTCATATACAAGTGTTGGGATGTTTTCCAAATAGTACTATTAAAAAGGAATGCTGATCAGCCACTGTGCTCACTTTCAGGAATAACCATAAGGATGAAACCACTGTGCTTGACCTTGGGCCTTTTGGCTTTTATAACATGTTTCTTGGTAAGTCTCATTACACACATCTGTATATTTTTCTAACAACTATTACTTCAGATTTCTTTTTGCGTTAATGATATCATCCTACTTTATATATTAGTAGTTAGCAATCATTGTTGAAGCACTGTTCTAGTGTTTTAATTTGCCTTAAATTTAAAAGCTAATTTAATTTCAAAAGCAACACATTGCTCATGGCTGCTATTTGGGGAAGTTTGGATCTACAATATCAGGCTACTTTATACAGACATGTATAAATGTGGGTCCCACACATTAGCAATTTCACAAGTAGATGAAACAAATTGATTGAAAGTCTTTGATCCAACATACTTAAAGATAATATTTGAATATTATTGATATTTAACACTGTTGTTCAATGTTTGGGGGGCTTTATTTCCTAATCTATAAAATGAGATAGTTAAAAAAGAACATTTGTGATCATCATAGTGTTCATGGAAAATCCCATGGACAGAGGAGTCTGGCAGGCTACAGTCCATGAGATCACAGAGTCGGACAGGACTGAGCACATATACATATACATAGTGTTCATGGATCATCTACATCAGAGTTAACAGATTCATTTATTAAAAATATGCTATATATTCTGCACTTCATCCCGGAACAAACAAGAGAGCCCAGAGAGGAGGATTTAGGGATATACATTTTGTGAAGCACTAAGGGGAATCTATGCATGTTAACTTTTGAGAAACTATAAACATTTGTACCAACATATCTCATGGAAAATACTGTAGAAGCTTCTAAATATCTTAAATTGCAAAGGATAAAAACCCACACGTTTTTGGTTTTGTTAAGTAGTGAAATGATAATCTCCAAGGAGGGATGGATGAATTCCAATATAGGAATGAGGAGATTAATTCCAGAATAATTTCTGCCAAAGATCTGTAAGATCTTTTATACCAATTGGAAAAAGAAAACTTTTTTTCAGATCATTAGGACTTTCACAAAACAAGAAACATAAAATTATATCATTCTGAAACATCAAAAAATGCTTCTTCCATCTACTCTCAGAAACTTGAATAAGACCAGGTCATTCAATAGGTCTCTCAGGGAGTCCAACATTGGCCTAAGTACATATTAATGCATTATATCACTAAGCATATTATATTATTAAGTATCCTATGATATACTTTTTGATAAGCCAGTTAAACATACAGACATATTTAAAAGTTCATATCATGTCTTACTGACCTAATCTTAAAGCTGATTTTCAATATGTTTATATCCTCAGAATATGAGAAAAAACATTTTCTTAAGTTAAAGGATCATATTTTGATTATATAAATAATGATTTTTTTGCAAAATAAATGTGAGTTCAATAATATAAGCAGTCTAAATAGAAATAAGTCTTTTCTCAGCTTAATTATATGAGACTAATGATCATTAACAATAGTTGAATTTTAGAAATGCAATTAGTAGAATATCTTTTACATATGGGCAAGATAAGTAGTAATATTTGGCATGAAATCTTTTGTGTGTTCATTCCACTATACATAATTTTACATAAATTAAAATAATCTACAGACATTATCTCATAATCCTCAAAGAAAGACAAATGGTTTACTATTAATTCTATTAAAATACAAATAACTTTAAGTCCAAAGGATCAGCTTCAATTATATTCCAGTGAGAGGACAGATTCTTCTACTGACATAGTATTGTCATCATTTTTACCAAGTTCACTACCTTGACCCCAAGGTGGAAAAATAACCAATCAGTATGTCTGGGTTAAGAGATTAGGAAAAGAAAAGGCATTTACTATGAAGATTTTTCATTAGACCTAACCTTTGGATCTATATCAGAATATCCTTAGGAGACAAGGCTACTTTTACATAATTATTTGTGGCAACAATGAAAATGATGTTAAATATTTTCCCTACACTAAGAATTTGTTTTCTGGAAAAGTAAAAATTAAATCTGAAGCTTTTAAAACACATTGACTAGTTTTTGGCTTGTCAGCCCTTGAGTCAAGTATCCTCTAAACTCCAGTCAACCATCACTAGCTAGAGAGGGCAAACAAGAGTACTGATGTAGAGACGAGTTTTAGCATTTTACTACCTCATTAGCACACCAATAAAAGAATTTCACTGACATGTTGTGGGTAGAAGCCTGGCTGAAGAGTCAATAGAAATAAAGAAGTAGGATTAGCAAACCTAGGCTACCTTTTCTGAAAGTATTGCTATAAAGGAAAGAGATGCAGAGAGCTATCACAGCAAGGGAAAGCACAGTTGAAAGTGGACCTTTTTCAAAAAGGTAAACTGAACATAAGGGATAGTTTACTGAGAAAAACAAGCCAATTGAAAGGCACATATATGAAGTGCAGGAAGCAAAAGGGACAATTGACAGAACTCTGAGATGTTACTTGTGAACGAAAAGGAAATATCTAGATATTGATGACTTTATGGTTGTGTGGCTGGCAAATCTGTGACTCATTTCCAATTGTGTGCATCATTTTGGAGAAGAGGGAGGAAAATCATCTTGGTGGGGAGGATGGGGGCTCAGAAAGAGGTAGAGAATTTTGACGAAATCGGCATCCACTGGGGAAAATCACAGACCACTAGGGAATGTGAAAAGCAAACTTCAAATACTTGAGAGGTTTGCAGGACAGCACTGAAGGGCCATAATCTGTGGTGGCACAGTGCTTTTATTATCTGCCAGCCCTGTTAAAGAACTCATGATAAGGAATCAAGGACAATTTAAGGTAATTCTCAAGTTATGGGTGCTCAGTCATGCTCGACTTTTTGCGAGCGCAAGGACTGTAGCCCGCCAGGCTTCTCTGTCTGTGGAATTTTATAGGCAAGAATACTGGAGTGGGTTGCCATTTCCTTCTCCAAGGGATCTTCCTGACCCAGGGATCAAACCCACATCTTTTGCATCTCCTGCATTGTCAGGCAGATTCCTTACCACCGCACCATCTGTGAAGTCCAATTCTGAAGTTAGGAATTATCAAAGGGAAAACAACAGACAAACAAATAGGTGGAGGGCCTGAGGAGAGCAAGAGGGAATGGGCTTGTGTGTCCATAGAAACCCTCAGTAAAGGAAGACTTATACTTTCTTACCCTAGAGAGTTGCCATATTTTCCCTTCACTTGCACACCCTCTCCCCATTTTATATTATTTAAGCCTCTTTACAAAGGCTGGCTTTCTAGTGAGACAATCATTAATCTTTCCTCTAATGAAACCTAATCAACATTTGTTTCCTGCAGTATTTGTTAAAAGCTGTATTTTCAGAGTAGCAGGTAACATTTCTTGAGCACTGTACCTGAACCAAGCATGGTCCAAGTACATGACAGGAACCATTTCACAACAAATCTCACAATGGCCCTAGGAGGTGGATACTTTTAGGACTGACATTTTCCAAATGAGGAAAGAGTCTCCAAAAGGACTCCACATTCACACAATCTCTAAGTAACAGATGTAGAATTTAAACCTGGGCATAAAGCTCCAAGGGAGCTTTCTGCCTCCCTTTCGGCCATTTCTGAACTGCTGTGTATTGTAGGTACTTGGTTTGTAGACTCACAAAAGGCAGGAGTGTGTCTCTACCTCTCCTACATTAGTGTAGACCAAAAAGTAGTAATATCTTTCACACTTTATTAGTGTTCAAAGCCTGGAACAACCCTGAATAAAGAGACATTTTCCCCATTTGGAATGACTGCAAGCACATGTTCTGCTTATAAGCAAACAAGATGATTTGACTGAACTCTTTTCCACTCAGTATTATCTCAGGTTTCATTGAGAGACTAGGCATTCAGAGAAAGAAACTCCACATTTTCTCTGACAGAGACTTTAGACACATGTAAGAGTTTTTCATTGCTGCACAATAAGTTTCCATAAACTAGTAGTTTTTAAAAATGCATTTATTGTCTTGCTATTTGGTCAGACTCTGGCCTTGGCTCAGTTGGATTCTTGCTCATACTTTTAGAAATTTGCAAAGGTGTAGCCAGGGCTATGTCCTTTCTGGAGCCCAGGTCCTCCTTCAACTTGCACGGATGTTGACAGAATTCAGTCCCTTGTCAGTAAGACTGAAGTCCCCACTTGCTTTCTGGCTAAGAACCAGAGACCAATCCCAGCTCTTACCACCCAAGGCATTCACACCCAAATCATCATCTCCACACATGGTGTGTGGCACTCTGCTTCAAAGTCAGCAGAAGGCATTCAAGTCTCTGAATTCTCTCTCTGACCTGTAGAACCTATTTTACAATAAAAGAGCTCAACTGATAAAGTCAGGCCAGCTTGGGCCAGCAGGGAATAGGAATCTTGGGAGCCACCTAAGAATTCTGCCTAACACAGAAAATACACATTCTTATGCTTGACACTGAAATATCTAATTTAAAACTGTTTACTTCTTTTTTTTCCCCATAGTCTGGAGAGAGTCACAGAGGCCCCAGCCTACAAGTGCCTAGACCACCTGCTCGACGTCCTCCACCACGCATTCCTTCTGTCCCAGGATTTGTCCAACGCCCTTCTCTATCCTCTGGTCCTGGAAGAATTCCACCATACCTTCTTCTACCTTCTGGTCCAGGCAGAATTCCACCACGCCCTCCTTTCTTCCCAGGTTATCCAAATCCACCAAGACCTTATCCATCTAGACCTCAACAGTTCCTTCCATATCCTCCATTTTATCCTCCCTTCTTTCCACCTCTACCCCCAAAACCAGCAACTACAACAGACTCCCCTACTACCTCCATTACCAACACAACAAACTCCATTACAAACATAACAGTCCCCAGTGCCAACACAACAGACTCCATTATCAACACAACAGTCCCCAGCACCAACACAACAGATTCCATTACCAATACAACGGACTCTGTCACAAACACAACAGTCCCCAGCACCAACACAACAGCCCCCAGTGCCAACACAACAGTCCCCAATGCCAACACAACAGTCCCCAATGCCAACACAACAGCCCCCAGTGCCAACAAAACAGTCTCCAATGGTGACACAACAGACTCCATTATAATCACAACAGTCCCCTTAATAGACAATACAGACTCCACTACAAATATAGCAGAACCCACCACCAAATTCATCAACCCCACAACTACATCATCCAATACCCAAAATTCCTTTATTAAGAGATTTTTAGAAAAATTTCTTTCCTTTTTGGGGTATGGAAGAGATAGCCCATGAGCTCTGAGTTTTGGGGAGAAATAATCTTAGAAATTGTAAAAGAAAGCACAAGTTATGAAAACAGTATGCCAACAAAGTGAAAATAAAGAATTGAGCAATGATACTAAGCCTCCAGTGTCTTCAGGAGAGCCACCAATTTGTCCACACTTATGCCACTCATTTGAAAATTAGTGCTACCAGAAATCTGACCTTGTACCATGAAACCAAGGAGGGAATTAGAAAAATACAATGAGACACCTAGACTCGTAGCTTAAGGTGATGAAGTTGGAAAAGTAGGCAACAGGATCCTTTCTTGGGTACCTCAACCCATCATATAATTACAAAACATAAAATAGCATGTTAAAAGATACTAAAATTAAATAATCTTAAGTCTTCCAGCTTTTTACATGATCTGTCAATTCCAGAGCAGAGATGTCTTCCTAGCAAATCTAAATATCTAAATGAGGTACCTTCAAGGCACAAATCTTGAAATGTCATATAAAAAATCGTTTTCCACCAAAGTAGGACTTGATAAATAATGATCATTTCAGACATCAATAATAAAAGGAAGATGGCTGAGATTTCCAAATTTCCATTGCTTCCTATCATTAGGTAAGATTTTAATCAAAAGTATTATGACCATTTTGGGAAAAAAAGTATTATGACCATCACGGCCTCATTGTATCATGAGAGCTATTATCTCTCCTAGATTTTTTTCACTGATGAAGTATAAACCTGCATTTTCTTTCAGTACACTTACTTAACTACCCACATTTCCGCCAAGTACTTATGAATCAAAACTTCTCAAAGATATTTGAAGTAAACCTAAATTTGTTTTTTGGTGTTTAATGCCATCCTTATTCCACAACTACTTATTGACTCTTCCCTGAAACAGAGACTGTTATAGCAAATGAGAGCTCAGTAATAATGAAGGCAGTCAAAATCACTGCTTTCATGGAGCTTATACTCTAATATAACAAGAAAAGAAAGTAAGCAAATGTAAATGTAATTTAAGAAGGAAAAAGCACTCTCCTAAGAAGTGAAGTCACTTAGTCGTGTCCGACTCTTTGTGACCCTACAGAGCATAACCTACCAGGTTCCTCCATCCATGGGATTTTCCAGGCAAGAATACTGGAGTGGGTTGCCATTTCCTTCTCCAAGGGATCTTCCCAACCCAGGGATTGAACCTGGGTCTCCTGCATTGCAGGGAGATTCTTTACCACCTGAGCCACCGGGGAAGATGAAGTGTGAGGTGATTAAAAACTATGGTGATTGGCTGTCTTGTTTGGCAGAATCTCTGATGAAACGATATCTAAGCAAAGACTTGAAGAATGTTAAGAGAAAAGTATTATAATATCTAGTAAAAGGACACTCAAGGCAGAAGGAATCAAAGATGGAAAGACCTGAAGTAGCAATGAATTCTGCATGTATCAGAACCATAGAATGTTAATCTAATTCAAACTTAGTAAGAAAGAAGAGAATATCAAGGAGGCAGACAGACCACATCATAAAGGACCTAGGATTTGAATTTCATTCTAAATGTATGGGAGGCAACTAAAATTTTAAATAAAAGAATAACATTATCTGATTGGCATTTTCAAATTTTCATTTCTGTGACCCTCCTGTGAATACAATTCCATTTAGGAAAAAAAAGAAAAAGAGTAAAGTCCATTTCAAAACTTCTGTTGAGAGAGGTGATGGTTTAGACTAGGCTGGGATCAAGCTGCCGGGGAGGAGGGATCGGATATAGAGATGCTGGAAATACCCAAAGGTATTTGAAAAATGTTGAATGTGGGTTTCAAAGAAAAAAAAAATCTAGAAATAACTCTGATATTTGGGACCCAGGTGATTATATGAATAAATGATGTCTTTTAGTGACAAGAAAGACTGGAGAGGAATCAGGGTTTAAGGATTTGGAATATACTAAGTTCTGAACTGGATATATTAAGTTGGAGATCTCTAACTTCTGTACTATTTTTTATTACTGCCACAGCATATCACCATAGACTTAGCATGCTGGAATAGGAAAAATGCTTTATCTCCCAGTTCTGTGTATCAGAAGTGTACACAGTAGCCGGGTCACATAGTTTGTCTGCTTAGAGCCTCACAAGATTGAAATAAAAGTATCATCAAGGCTGCAATCCTTTTTAGAAGCTCTGGGGTGAACTTGTGTCAAGGCTCAGTCATCTCTCTATACATCTCTCTTGCCTAACTCTTCTTCTCCTACATCCTCTAACTCCAGCCAGAGAAATTTATCTACTATGAAGAGCTCAATTAGTTAGAGCAGTCCTACCAAAAAAAAAAAAATTGAGGATAATTTCTCTTTTGAAAGAATTATAGCATAATAAAGGGTTTTTCAGGTGGCACAAGGTTGAAGAATCTGCCTGCCAATGCTGGAGACACAAGAGACTTAGGTTCTATTCCTCCTGGGTTGAGATCATCCCCCTGGAGTAGGAAATGGCAACCCACTCCAGTATTCTTGCCTGGAAAATTCCACGGACAGAGAAGCCTGGTAGGCTACAGTCCATGGTGTTGCAAAGAGCCAGACACAACTGAGCACACACACATACACATGCACACACACATATAACATAATAATATCTGGAAAGTGCTTTGACAGCATAACTCTTTGAAAAGTTGTATTTACTTCCCCTCATTATTCCATTGTCCACTGAAAAAATACGTGCAACCTAAAAGTTGAAAGTTAGGTTTATTCGGCGGGAATCATGAGGACTCCAAGCCCAGTAAACAGTATCTCAGGTGACCTGGAAAGAGCTGCTTCTGAGAAGGCACGGGAAGGAGCCAGGCTATATACAAGTTTGCAGCAAGGGGGCAGGTAATCTGAATATTAAAAGATTATTGTTAATTAAGGAAAACCAGATCTCTTGCATAAGAGATTTAGTGCTCTTCTATGTATGGGAAGATACACAAGGCTTACTGAAATCATTTCTTTCATATGCATCTCAGCTATCTGGGGCCAAATTCTGCTTTTTTATTGTTCACATCCTAATTCCTTGTATAACCATAAGAGCTGGTGATGTGGTGGATAATTGCTTCTTGTGCTTCCCACATCCCCCCAAGTCCTCAGCACTTATCTCGGGGAGGAAGTGGCTGATGGCTGCAGAATAGCTGGCATTGTTTGACCTGGGCTTAGATGGCTATGTCATGACTTGTTACTGGTATAGCAGCAAATACTTCATTTCACAGAAATAGTTCATTTCAGAGCAATATTTCATGTCACACAATCAATGAGAGCTTGATTGAATAATGAGGGAATGGAAATCTTGAAGGGCAGATGCTTAGAAACATGCCTACTACAACTTCTAGGTAGAAATTCTGAGTAGGCAGGATATATACACAGGAGCAGCTCAAGTAGGAGGTTTGAGTTTTGCCAGGATCCCAGTTTTGCCAGGAGAAAGTTAGAAGGGGAAAGCTAGGTAGGGAAGAGGAGCTATTCAGGGAATGAGAGTTGCATGTAAGCTAAGCCATACAACAAAGACAAGTAAAAGTTTACAAAGTGGACTTAGAAACAACTGAGACTTGGATAAGTACACTTCCACTTCATATTATTATCAAGCATCTAAATGAGCAGAGAAAATGATGTGTTTGAAATGAGATCAAGAAAACGTGGTGCCAGTGAGTGAGCAGAGGGGCTGCCTGGTACTTCCCCTTCTTCCTCCTGCGGGCACAGACAAGCTTGGGGTGTCTCAGCAGCCAGGGTACATGGAAGAGTCTACCCCATCATAGGACCCAGAACTGACCTTTGAACCTTTAAATAGGGGAAACATGCATCACACTGAAAGCTTCACTGTATTGCCTTTTAAGGGATTTTATGCAGAGCCTCAGAGAAGGCAATGGCACCCCACTCCAGTACTCTTGCCTGGAAAATCCCATGGATGGAGGAGCCTGGTAGGCTGCAGTCCATGGGGTCGCAAAGAGTCGGACATGACTGAGTGACTTCACTTTCACTTTTCCCTTTTATGCACTGGAGAAGGAAATGGCAACCCCCTCCAGTACTCTTGCCTGGAGAATCCCAGGGATGGGGTCGCACAGAGTCAGACATGACTGAAGTGACTTAGCTGCAGTAGCAGCAGCATGCAGAGCCTAAACAAAGTAGGTAACTTGTTTTGCATGTTTTTTCTTAATGTGCCATCAAGTTTAACTAAGGTTACTGAGCATGGACCTGGTTGATAACAGTATACAAGGAAAGATTACAGGAGTGAACTATAGAAACATAGATAACAACAACAAAAATAAATAAATAAATAAATAAAAGGATTGGGGAAGTATATTTAATATGCTTTATTGTGTGCTTGTTCTTAGTCATTCAGTCATGTCCGACTCTTTGTGACCCCAAGGATTGTAGCCCGCCAGGTTCCTCTATCCATGGGGATTCTCCAAGCAAGAATATTGGAGCGGGTAGCCATACCCTCCCTCCAGAGAATCTTCCCAACCTAGGTCTCCTGCATTGCAGGTGGATTCTTTACCAGCTGAGCCACCAGGGAAGCCAAGAATACTGGGGTGGGTGGCCTATCTCTTCTCCAGGGGATCTTCCCCACCCAGGAATTGAACCAGGGTCCCCTGAATTGGGGGCAGATTCTTTATCAGTTGAGCTACCAGGGAAGCCCAAGCTTTGCTATCATTTGTCTTCAAATCCTCATAACTTATATGCAACTTCTTATATGGAAGAGGAGATAAAATTAAAATTTCTATTTCCAAGAAACAGCTTGATTTCTGCATGTGACTGAATTCAATCCAGCAGGACACAGTGACAGGGGAATAAGAAGGCAAAATTAGGGCAGAAGCCCTTTTTCCTGCTTTGACTGCCACCAAGCAAAATCGGATAGATATGCTTGAAGCATCACTACTGCCTCATGTGTGTGAGGCAGTTCTATACTTTCAGAGTCACAACTCTAACCATCCAACCCCAAGACAAAGAGACAGTGGAAGTCCCCTAATGTCTATTTCTTCAATCCTCTTACTAATGCTTTGTAAGCACACAGTTATCTCTATGGATCCCC